CACCCTCTTTGATTTTTGATAAAACCGCACACAAGTAGACAAACTCTATCGATCCAAATACAAGTGGAAAACACAAAGCTAGAAACAAGTTGGTTTGCCAAATGAGAAGCATTACAAGTGTCACCAAGGTTGTGCTCACCATCATGACACCAACTTCAGCTATTCCTGCGTGAATAGATATAATTGGATTAGCAAAATTATCATTACACATTAATAGTTGGTATAGCTTGACTCATGTTCGACTAATAAAACTCATGTATATTGTTGTGAGGAATATAAGCTCAATAGTCCTGCCTAGCGGCATTTAAAATTGTAACATATAGAATTTCATGTGATAACATTAGAATATGAATGTTAAACCAACTTCATTTCAAATATACAAATATCTTTTCCTTTGGACCAAATTCTTATAGGAAGGAGAGGAAAAGGATAATTCACCATATGCATTGGCAATCTCTGTGGTGCTTTGAAAGATGGAAACCACAACTATGCACATGATCATTAAAAACCAATTGATAATAGGGATATAAATTTGGCCCATTCGCCTCTTTGAGGTGTGAATTATCTTTAGCCTTGGGAAGCATCCAAGAGCCATTGATTGCTTAACACATGAAAATGTAGCAGATATCATCGCTTGGCTGGCAATCATTGCAGCAAGGGTAGCTACCACAAAGACCGGCCAGAAAAGACTATCTGTTTGTTCACAAGATTGGAGAACCATAAGTGTCAAACTGAGGAACCAAATACAGAGATATGCCCCTTTATGAGACAGTTAGAGTGGAGTTGAAAAGAATGGTAGCCAAGATGTTGGAAAGTGTCACCTGGCACAGAATCATAGAATATTCTAGCCGAGGAATCAGGGTGTTTCATCAGATAAGCAGCTTGGCCCATGTAAGCTAAGAGAAGGCAGGGGAACACCACCAAACTGAAGGCAACCTGCATAAGATGTATAGATTATATGATGCTCTTCGATAAATAAAATGTATGAAGCTATTTCAAGGGAGAGAAAGGGTATGCATTGGCCAACCTGAATGGCTCGCACAGAGAAATGTCCTAGATCAGCAAACATAGCTTCAGCTCCTGAAACAGCATAACCGCTAATGCATTTGGGAAGTTTCTTTACTATAAATCCATAGGAGACATTGAAAAAGGAAAAACAAATGGCTCTCATTAGAAACCTAACGGGGAGTTAAAGGTGAAATATACCTGTAATGCACAGAACACAACCACCAAGAGCGAACCACGCTTCCTTATTGTTCTTCTTGAAGAAAAAATAAATATAAGCAGGATTGAATGCCCTCAGGACGGTAATGTCATACTTCACTAAATTGTAGATTCCAATAGAAGCCAGGCTGAAGAACCACAAAGCAAGTATTGGAGAAAACATGACACCCACTTTTCCAGTCCCAAACCGCTGTATGCTGAACAGCACTAGGAGAATTACAATCGAAACAATAACCACAGCATCTGCAATTAAAATCAATCAGATTATGGGCCATATTGTCCGCAACTTATAAGTTATTATTTGTGTTTCCCCTTCCAATTCTATCCCAGGTAAAAAATATAGTTAAGTAAACAAATGAACCACAGATTCTCAATCAGACTAAGAAAAAGATACTCACTTGTACCAAAACCTGGCACTTCACCTTGCAGGCCACTCACAGCAGACATCACTATGACGACCAAAAAGAAGAAAGTACATCAGTATACTCTCCTACACAGATACAACGGAAAACATTTGTATAATGTATGAAAATGACTGCACAATTTTGCAGTTTCAGCCAGGTTTAACAAAAGTCCTACTTCCTAATTGTGGTTTCCTGTCTAAGGAAGAGGAACTTGAAAATGATGCAAGAACAATCTGTGGCTGTTATTGGTAATGTGATTTCATGTCAGTAGCTACAGCTTAAACATATTTTGTTGGCTGAGTACATGATATCAAGAGTTTTCCACCTCAAGCCCAGTCAAGTAATGCACCTGATATAGCTGGGGTTAGAATACCATCTCCTATAACCATTGAAGTTCCCATCAAAACGAACAACAAGAGGATAGTTTTCAAGAATGGTCTCTTTTCTAAAGTGTCTTTTATACGCAAGGCCCTTTTCAACTCTGGAGTGGGCAATTTGAGCTTATAACTTGAGATGTGTTCATCAGCTGGCTGACGATTTGGCAGCAGATTAACATTTGCATATCTGCATACCAGTGAGTACAATGCAAATGTTCCTCCTACAATTGGAAACATAAATAGTGTACAGGTTAACAAGTACTCACATGACCATATACTACCAAGCAACTAAGGACAAAATAATTGTGACACGAAAAAGTGCCCACCTTCTCCATTATCATTGGCTTTGAGAACTACGAAAACATATTTTGCTAAAGGTATAAGCGCAACTGTGTACATCACTAGTGATAAAGCTCCCAAGACATCAACATCTGATTCGATGCTCACCCTGCTGAACACATCAGCAAAGACATATAAAGGGCTCGTTCCCATGTCACCGTAGACCACGCCAAGAGTTTGGAATCCTAAAGCAAGAGTGCCCCAAACAGAATGATCCTGATTGATTAAATAAAGTTAGTAAGTCATGGATAGTATCATAGTAGCATTTTCAAACTTTTTACATCATAGAATTGAGAAAAGGTAATTTTGTCTGCCAATAGGGATGGCAAATCATGATTCTGCTGATGTACAATTTCTTAATAAAAGGTTCACATGATGTAACAAACATACCATATTACAAAGATTATTTTTTAATACAAACGATACTCTACTCCAAGTTAATCTAAATCGCGGGGATGAGGATTCAAACTCGGGTGCACATGGAAGCACGTCAGCTCTAGCCATTGTGGCTACACCCACGTCTGCAAAGTAACCTTTATTCCAAATAACCAAATTTAAAATTTTAAAACATATAATGAATTTAAAATTAACCAACACGTAAAGAAAAACCACTAATACCACATAAAAATCATTTATTTCACAAAAAAACCGAAGAAAAATGTAATGAACTGTGTTATTACCTTCAAGTGATGGCTACCAGCACCAGCAATCGCCATGGCTTCCACATCAAGAGAATCAACTCTCCTGGGCTTCTTCACAAGCCTCCTCCTGAGAGATCCTCCATACCCTTCTCCTCTGCCGCGTCCTCCATTCTCAGACTGCAACGACCACGGCGGCGATTCCGAGTCCACCTCGCTCCCATCCACCCACCTCGAGTCGCTCCCAACCCCACTCCCACTTCTTCCCGCCCATCTCTCACTCCTCTCCACAATCCCATCTTCTTCTGCCATTTTTGCACAAATCCTTCAGAACCCACATGCAAAAATCCAATCTTTTTCTTCGAGCTTCAGTAATTGGTCATGAAATTGAATGATTTGTTGTGGGTTATATATCGTGCCTGCTGAGATGATGTTTGAGCCTGGCAGATGAGTGGAGTGAGGACGGCGACAGCGTTTTCGAATAACGACACGGACATTATTGACATGATAACAAAAAACCATCCATTTATCTTCCTTCGGCTTTTCTGCTATTGGTCCATAACCATACTTTCACGCACCTTTTTCTTGTTTTATAGTATATCTTGCTTCTTTCTATAAGATTATTTCAGTATATCCTTTCGGAATTCTTTTTATATTACGTAATATTAAATGTTACGAATATTAGTTTGGATTATTTAGTTTTACGAATTCAGATTATTCAATGATTGTATATTTAATAAATAGATTATCTTTTGTAGACAGTGAATTACTCTGATAATTTGAGTAGAAGACGATATGATGTTTGAAAGCATTTCTCTTATTTTATTTTTATGTTGGTCCAAACTCTTCACTATAAATTTAGAATTTGTTTATAATTTGCTTTCATACGAGGAAAAACACTTTTATGAAAAAAAAATAATGCTTTTAAATGTGTTTCACTTAATAAAACTTGGAAGTTTTAACACTGAACTTTTATTAAATTTCTAAAGTGTTTATAACAACATCACTTCCACTAGAAAAGTTTTCCAAGTACGTCATTAGTCTTGTTTGATGAGAAATATCAAACGCTTGCACGCCATTTTGTAGAGAGTATGTTTCTTAAGATATTTCTAGACAATAACCAATAACTTTCAAATGGAGTAAGCAGAATCATTGGAAATATGACATGGATTAATAAAGGGGGTGAAATAATGTGAAGAAGTAAAAATTTATCCTACGAAAATGATTTGAAAAACATAGGGCTCGTTTGAAAGTTCTTTTAAAATGATTGAAAATACTTTTGGTGAAAATATTTTTGGCTTTTTACCTAAAATAGTCACTGATAATTGCATAACTCCTCATTTTGATCCCTGAGATTTGAAATCAATCAAAGTTGTCCATGAGATTGTCCATCATCAATCATTTTGTTCATTCCATGAAAAATATCCATTAAATAAGATAAAATAACAAAAATACCTTCAATTCTTTGTCAAATCATTTTGGTCTATTGCTTGTTAAATTGAGGGCATTTTTGTCATTTTGATTCTCAGTTAACATAATTTTTTTGCGGAATGATCAAAATGATTGATGGTGGACAATCTCAAGAACCATTTCTATTGATTTCAAATCTCAAGGACCAAATTGGTGAGTTATGCAAATCTCAAGGACCATTTTGGCTATAAAACCAAAATTTTTAAACCAATCTTTAGTAGAAATCCAAGTGAATTATAGAAAATCATTTTAAGTGTTTACTGCAAGAAAAACATATATGATACTTCTTTAGGCACTTATAGTGCTTATAGAAACCCAAAATTAATTTTACCAAAAATATTTTCGATCATTTTAAAAGTGTTTTTCAAACGTGCCCGAAGGCATATGTTAGCAATGACGATGGCTTTGGATATTAAAAACTTCATGCCGTTCAGACACCATTAGAAGGCTGGGCCTTGAGAACAGATAACTTTACATATAAGCCCAATAGCGGGCCAGTTGGGCTCCCGAAACTCACAGACAAGGTTAAAAGAGGAGATTCACCATAAGGGCTAAAAGGGGAATGTACAATCCATCGAAGAACACGCGGGGAAATTGGTTCTGGTTTCTAGGGTTTAATCGAGCTCTCCGATTCCACCCGCAGAGCACCCAATCCGTTTCCCCGTCGCTCTGATCAATCAAAGTTCACAAATTCTAGGGTTTTTTTCAAGGTAATATTCAATGCTATTTTTCCCTCTTTTCGATTCGTTAATCATTGAACGTTCGATTTGTTCTAATTTTTCCTTGAAAAGTTCGATTCTTTCTGGAATTTATATGAGAATTTTTTTTATTGGATAAATTTGTGTTAAATATATTTGTATTTTGCTAGGTTGAAGGTGGTATTGCGACGATGACTCGGGTTTATGTTGGGAATTTGGACCCTCGAGTGAACGAGAGGGATCTGGAAGATGAATTTCGGATGTTCGGCGTTCTTCGCAAGTATTTTCTGCTACATTCCTCTTGTTTTTTCGTTGTCTTAGCGAGTTGTGATCAATTTTCATAGGTTTGAAGGATTCGTGTTGCTAACCGATATTTTTATGAAATTGATGACAGTGTATGGGTTGCACGAAGACCGCCAGGATATGCATTTATTGAATTTGATGATCGCAGGGATGCTCTAGACGCGGTTCAAGCTTTGAATGGTTTGCCCAACTATCCCACTCTAACTGTATTTGTGTGTGTTAATTTGTTTTGTTTTGACCTTTGCAACTATAAGTGATAAGTTGGTGTCTTATTTTATAGTCCACACTATCTATTGCATCATATCTTCATTTATTCTTCCTATCTCCCGTTTTTTTGTGTCTACAGGTAAAAATGGATGGCGTGTGGAGCTTTCTCACAATTCTACGGGTAGTGGAGGCCGTGGTGGTGGTGGACGTGGGCGTGGTGGAGGAGAGGACTTAAAGTGTTATGAGTGTGGTGAACCTGGTCATTTTGCTCGAGAATGTCGCACGCGCGTTGGTTCACGAGGAGTGAGTAGTGGAAGGCGTCGAAGTCCATCCCCTCGACGCCGCAGAAGTCCTAGTTACGATGGCTATGGGCGCAGGTGTGGCCATCTTTTTTTTTTAACTCACTCTGTTAAAATTGTGATTCTGTATTTTGATGACCCGTTGTCTTTCCATTTTATGCTATTGTTGCGTTGAGTGTTTGAATGGTTATGAGAATTGTTTGTACCCTGATTAACCGCATCCTTCTTGACATACTTGTCTCAGCTCACTTAGAATTTGCCTTGTGCTTGCCAAGTTTTTTTTATTTGGAACACAATATTCCTAATGTTTGTCTACTTTTGAATTGAAAATATTTTGTTCTTGATGAGGAGAATTAAAATTATTACACTTAAATGATATCTTTTTTGGCAGGAGTTATAGTCCGCGTAGGAGAAGATCACCTCCACGACGCCGTAGTGTTACACCTCCTCGACGTGGACGGAGCTATAGCAGGTCTCCTCCACATCGCCATGCTCACCGTGCTTCACCTTATGCCAATGGGTAAGTCATGGCTATACAACGTTTTTACAAAATGGTGAAAGATATAAGCTCGAACAAGTAAAGTGTATTTGGAATGGGACAACTTGTCGAAAGTGTTAGGGCTTTGTGTTTTGGGACTTCTTTTCTTGTAGATATTATCGAGTAGCTGAGTGCATCTGCTTGTTTGCCTCTACAGGGACTAAGCTGGAATTGGAGCAACTGCTGGATGACTTGGAAGGATGATATCTCTGCTATATGGTAGTTCTAGTAGGATTGACGAGAATCATGTTAGTTATGTCGATGTCGTGACAATGGGTTTTATTAGAAACTTGGATTGGATGACTTGGACATCATTTGCCTCGGCTTTCTCACTTCTGCGTGCTAAAAATTTGAGGTTGCTTTCCTACTTTGAAGGTGCTATATTATATCTGTTTATATATGATTTTATGTGAACTCTTTCTTTGTGGTTGGATTTTCATTGTTTGCATTAGATGTTCCTAAAGTTTGTTTGTTTTGATTTGAGGTGTATTTTCGGCTAAAACGGCTTCGTTTCAACACTTACTGCATCTTAGCGCTCACAATTTCTATCTCTGCTCTGCATCCATCAAAGTCTTCTTCTTGTAGTTGCTCCTGCGTATTCTTCAGTGAAACTGGAATATCCACGAACTTTGGTACTTTGGTTGCACGCGACACCTTTTTATTGCATTCTTCTCCAGCAGAGCTTCATGAACACCCTTTTTTGTTGGTTCAAGAAGATGAAGTTGTATCCACGAACTTTGATACGTTGGATGTCTACGCGTAAGTCTGCTTCTCTTTCCTTGAGAAACTTGGAAGCAACTGGCCATATTAGAGTGTCGTCATCATCTAGCGTGTATCACAGTAAGACTCCACTTCTTAGTTCTCCGCTTGCTGATCGAAGAAGGAGAGTTTGGTTCTCAGTGGTTGAGAATTGAGCATTTATGGTAGTAGTCTTTGAGCGTAGTAGTATGGTTGGTTAATCTACTGACTAAGTGCCAATGAGCTGACGATCTTTTTTGCTTGTGGAGTCCATCTCACCCCATCATTAGTCACAAAGACTTGGTTTTTGACATCTTCTGGTTGCGGTACTCTTATTTGTGCAGCATAGTTCAAACCTACCACATACTATACAAGACTAACCATTCTTTTTTGGTTGTATGTTCTTTGTTTGACCATTGTAATTAATGATCCAATTAGTGGATGTTGCGAACAGTTGAGAATCGAAAACCATATTCTGAACAAGATCTTGTGCGTAATCGTGCGTCTTTAGCGGATGTTGCAAATAATTAAGAATCGAATACCATATTTTGTAATTTACTTCGGGAATCAAGTCAAATGTTGATCGAACAAAGCATGTGGAGGTTAATCGATACTTTGTCAAAGAAAATCCTGTAAGGAAGATTGTGTTTATACCGTTTGTGAATTCTGAGGACCAGCAGGTTCATGTTCTTACTTAGGTAGTATCTAGTAAAGTTTTTTAGGATCCAATTATCAAATTGGGCATGTATGATATCTATGCACCAACTTGAGAGGAGTGTTGATTTGAGTCTTAACATGTAAATATTCTAGGAGTCCTATTTTAGATAGGACTAAGATTTGTTTGATTGTAATCTCTCTTGTATTTAGTTTTCATATCCTTGTAATTATATTCCTTATAGAATAAGGCAAACATACGTATATATTGTAAACTTAAATAATAAATAAAGTAACGAAGTATTTTAACGTATTTCTTCTCTTTGTACGCGTTTTGTCGTAAATCACCTAGGTCTAATCTACATGGAGGGAGTCTTGACTTGGGTGCAACGGGACGTGCACGCAGCCTTTGACCTAACCATGAAAAAGAATTAAAACTGCTCAAATGATTTATTAAATGATGTGCTTTGGATAATCAGAAACTTTCAAGTGTGAGTGGATCGAGCTTGGAAGCGAAGCCATGGAGATGGAAAGCAATCTTGTGATGAAGAATCAGAAGCTGGAAGCCTCCGGTATTCTCAGGAAAGCTCTTATAATCCCTGCCAGAAACATCAAATTCTTAACTTTCACAATCCTCACCTCCCTTCCTCTCTTCTGTTTCTTGATTTACTATGAATCCCATCTCCAGAAAATCATGGTTGAAACCTTGAAAACCCTAAACCTGCCTCCGCGTGAGGCCGGCATGAATCGCTACTTGACTTCCTTCAGGTTGAGTTGGTCCATTCCAGTTGAGGTATCCAGAAAATTGAACCAAGATTTTCCCAATGAGTTATTTTATCTGGGGTTTCTCTTTGTGGTGCCTCTTCATCTCCTCCATTTTGTAACCGCGATTCCGATCGTTTACTTGGGATCTAAGATACACACAGAAGAGAGTCCAGTGATGACTCTAAGAGAAATGGTGAAAAAAACCTTTGACAAAACAAGGCTGAAGGGAACTTTTGTAACATTTTCTTATGTCCTTGTGTTGTCAAGTTATACTCTGCTAGGGCTGACATGGCTAGGAATAACCTACTATGCTGTCTTCCGAAACTTCAATGATTTCGATGCTTTGTTGTATGCTGTACTGTGTTGGCCGGCATTTGGGCTTCTGGTAATGTATTTGGCATGGAGTGCTGTGTGGAATGTGAGCGTTGTGATTTCGATACTGGATGGGGCGGGCGGCATCAAGTCGTTTGGTCAGGCGATATATTTTAGCAGCGGATGTGAGTGGAGAGGGTTTAGTTTGATGCTCATTTTCTTTTTCTGGGAAATAAGTTTGAGGTTGCCTTGCCTCTATTCCGGCTGCTACAAAAGCAGGAATTATTTTGGTGGTATTATTGCACAGGTTTGCTTGTTCTGCTTTGGGAATGTGCTGAAGTGGATTGTCTGCATGATATATTTCTACGATTGCAAGAATCGCGCGGTGGAGAAGAAATTGAAGATGCAGGCTAAGAAGAGAGGCAGTGGATGAATATTCTGTTTTCTTGTAGCTCAATTTGTAACTTTTATTTTGGTAGTTTTAATTAATGTGTTACTTGGAAATGAAATTGTGAAGATGTTGCAACCCTTCATGTAATACTATTGCAGTTTGGATGCATTCTTCCATCAAATTATATGTCTTTCTCTTTTACTATATTGATAAGAATTTGACATTTTGCAGCACCATTGCTAGGGCAACTGTATTATCTCATCGGAATTTCAAAGCGTCCAACAATCTACAGAAACAAAACCAGTAACTACATTGCTGTTACACTGAATTATGTATTACTGCATTGTTGTTGCACAGGGTAAGAATTGGTCAATTTTGGTCCTTCCACAAAGTAGGCCAACCTTTTTTCGTTATCTTTTGTGAGCCAAGAGACAAGGTCAAGAATATAACAAACCAATGGCCCCCTCTACATGTGAAAATTAACAACTTTGGGCCATGATAGTAATGTTGTAATTAGTCGAGAAACAAATGGGGTTGTTTCAAGAAGAGTTAAAAGTGCTTTCTGACAATCAAAAGCACTGCGAAATTTGGCAGAAAAACTTACATAAAAATATTTTTGGGAAACAGAGTGCTTCCGAGTGCCCTTTTTTAGGAAGCACTTGAATTTTTAATAAAAATCTCAACGTATTTGCATCAAAAGCACTTTTAGAAAGAAAAAAAAAAAAAAAAAAAAGTTTATGAACATAAGCAATTCCGGACGAGACTTAAAGTTTAAGTCAAGTCTACCCTTGGCTCTCCAAGTATTCAATAGGCTGAAATCATCAAGAAAGACTTTTTCTGTTGATGGTGGTTGGGGTGGACTTGAGTATTGACTTGGACTTTTCCGCATTGCTAATTGCATCAAGAAAGACTTCAAAGACTTCATGTTCATTTAGAAATTCACGGTTGTATATGAAACCGTGTGGATTGAGCTTGGAAGTGAAAGCGATGGAAAGCAACCTTACGGTGAAAAATACTTAGCTTCTTGCCTTCGGATTTCTCCCCCCTCTCTTCTGTTTTTTTCCCCTAAAAGTTCATGGTTGAAATCTCAGAAATTGTAAAACAAATCCCTGATGATCTCCACTTCAATTGGCTCATACCATTTGACATAGCCAGAAAAATGAAAGACTATTCAGCTGGATTCATTCATCTCGGTCTTCTCTATCTGGTGCCTCTCCATATCCTAGAGCTCAGCACCATGCTTTTGATCGTTGATTTGGCCTCAAAGATCTATGAAGAGGGATCGACGATGACTCTCAAGGCAATGCTACATATACCCTTTTGAGAAAACTGTTGTGATTGGCTCATATTATGAGTTGGCAACAATTTCATCTCAACCATGTGGAGTGCTAGCTACTTTCGGCTAAAGAAAGGGACAAAGAAAAAGGGGGACATCATTATGATGTCTAGCCCTTGATTTGTGGCTTTTACAAAGGCAAAGAATTGGCCTTGTGTGATGAGCCGAAAGAGAGAAGAGGAGAGAGAGAAGGCGGGGCCTTTTGTTTATATTAAGGCATTTGGTTATGCCTTTGTGAAGTCTGAAAGAGAGCGTCCAAGGGGGAGAGCATTCGGCTCTCCCATGGAAAAGGTTGAACATGGTTTGAGAGAAAATCAAGAGAGCTAGAATGAAAAGTATTCTAGTGAAAGAACTCTTGGGGTAGAGTGAGGCTCTTGGGAAAATTCTGTGAGTGGGTGTACAAGGGATATGGGATTGGGTTATGTCGATTTAACTCATGTATATTTGTACTGTTATTCTCATAGTGAAGAGCAATATCTCTCCGGGGACGTAGGCAGTTTTTTGCCGAACCTCGCAAATTTCTTTGTGTCTTTATTTCTTGTATTTTATTTTGTTCAACTGTGTGTGATTTTGGTGAGGTTGTAATCTGAATCTCGGTTCCGCACTAACGAACGGGCCAAGGCACAACAATTGGTATCAGAGCATCGTTGGGGGCTTTGGTTCGTTGGAGGTCCAGATTTGTTGTTCACCATGGAATTTTCAGTTGAGCAGTTTAAAGGGAGAGGCGGTTTTGCTCTTGGTAAAGGAGAGTAATGGAAGCCTGAAGAAATGGAAGCCGTGTTTAGGGATGCTTGGATCAACTGCGAAAGTTGATATTGAGGAAGAAGACAAAGGCCTCTTTCTTCTTACCTCACTTTCAGATTTGTACGAGAACCTTGTGAAACTTTACTGCAAGGAAAGAAACAGTAAGTTTGGAGCAGGTGCAAGCTTCTTTGGTGTGGAATGATACACACAAGAGACCATGGATGATGGTGGGCACAAGACTGCTTAAGCTATTCAAGGTTGAAATCGTGGAAGAAAATTGGAAAGAGGATCTGAGAGAGACAGCAGGTTCGGATCCGGTTCCGAAGGCAAGGGTCCACAGTGCTACGGGTGCAAGGCCGGGTTAGCAAGTTTGTGGTGGAAGACTTTGAGTATGCCCTCTAGGTACTGGAAGCAACACTTCTCCTGGTGATGTTTAGTCTCAAGTGTTGCAGGGGTTTTGCAGCAGGTGGAGCTATGGGATTCACAGGTGATGAGAAGGTCCTGAGGTAGGAGGAAGTGTGGGAATTTTGTCTGGCTCGATGGGTTGTTGCTGGAAATAGGCGCGCTGACGAGTTTCCAGGTTGCAGACAATGAAGAGGAGGAAAACCTGCTGGAGGAGACGAGGATGTGTTGAGATCCTGTCTGAAGCTAAATGGTGATTTTTAGCTTGCAGCAGCTGCACATGCATTGGCAGTAACTAAATCGGAACAGGACCAACGAGGTGGATTCAGAGTGTGCATGCTGGTAAGATATTTTACTTGGTGTTTGAGGACCAAAATAAATCGTGCATGCAACAACGTACAAGGTGACAGTCGGCGCGGCAACTCCCAAAGATAAGTAAACGTGGGTCTTAACTCTTAATCACCATGCTCGAGTATACTCAACTCAAACTAGCAATTGGCAAACACCAATACGTGTGCAATTAAATTTGCTTCTTAATTTTCTACGTTTCGTCACATCCACAAAACTGTAAGAAAAAGTTGCCTGCTTTTTAGGAATATTTGTCAATAGACTGCCGAACATAGCCACCAAACCAGCAAAGACAATCCTTTCATTTATATTTCATCAATTTTTGAAGAGAAGAGAAATACAGATCAAACCTTATAGATTAATCCTTGTTTCATTTATCTTGCAATTTTGAACATTAAACAAATTTTTAAGAATTAATATGGAATGGGGATTTTAATATTTTGAAAGATTTGTTTTTGTAACTTGTGGGAGTTCGGGAAAAGACAAATTATAGTGTTGTTGGGTGGTTCTGAAGAAAGTAGATCAGTTAAGAGGAGAACGTGGGAGAAGAGCGATTGAGGATTTTTTTGGCGACAGAGTGCAAAGAGAGGAAGAGGAGAGAGCTAGGGTTTTTTTATTTAATTTTTAATTTTGAATAGGGCTGCTATGTTTGTGTGGATATAAGGTTCACGTAAAAAAAAGTAAAATTCATGTTCGTGTAATTACTAAATTGTTCATAGTTTTTATTTATGTTCAGTTTTGTCTAGAAAGTTAGAATGATAATTTTACGAAGTTTTGGTTAAGAATCAGAATTCTATTAATATGTATAGATTATTGTTTTATCAGGTGTATGATTGAAAACTGAAAAGAACAAAATCAAACGGTCCTTTAATCATCAGAAAATACTCTGCGTATTTTCGATTGTGACTGGGATGAACGCGCAAGTGAAGGCAGTGGACATGGAAGCAACCTTGTGATGAAGAATTATGAGAAGCTGGAAGCCTCCACTATTCGTTACAACAGATATTGGTATTGTTGCTCAATGTTGGAACCATATTGGACTATAAACTTATCTCATTCGGGTTTTGAGTTTAGTGGAAACTGAGAATGGTTAGAGTTAATAGGTGAATAAACCTCTTTCCTTTAAAGTAGGACATTAAGGGTTAAACATGTTGGTGAGTGGATATCCCACGTTGGAGCACTATAGACGTGTGTTTTGAACAAACCGTTTTCCTTGATAGGAGGAAATGGTTATGGTTGCACATTTATAAAAGTATAAGTCCCTGCTCAAGAGGAACATGTTTGTATATCAGAAAATCTAGCCCTATTCTAGAAAGAACATAAGGTCCTCCTTGAGTAGAATATTTCCTTTTCATTTCCCAGCGATCAATGGCTTCACAAAGTCTGAACTCAAATCACAGTACTTGATGCATGTTCGTAATCTATGTTTGCAGCTGTATTAAATTCCAACACTCAATGCTTAGATCAATTAGCTTGTTCTGCTTTGGGGAATTAGTATGGTGAAGTGCGATCACCTACATGATTTATTTATGCGATATAGAATTTAATATAATTTTGATATTATCTTTAACTTAATCATCAGTCCAACAAAATGTGGTTCGTACACACCAGATAGGCCCAATAAACCATCTAATTGTAGATTATTGTCGTACTTCTCCGATACATGTTTATAAACACCAATTAATGGTAAATTTTTTTATTTTTTTATATTTGAGCAAAATTAATTGTATTTTAAACTTTTATTTTTTATTGGAAGCTTTATTGTAAAATATAAATATGTGCAATATATTTTTGTTTGTGTAACGTTTGCTATGTTGCTTCATGGGGACATATGAAACTACAACTTGTTGAGATCACTTTCCCTCACAAAGAGTCCGTGGAAGCCATAAGGCACCCGCCGGGGCATCCTCACAGCAGCCACAATGTCAAGCTGAGGAGACTTTGCATCCATCACCAAGAACCTCGATTCCCCAGCCTTCTCATCGTGAACATACGACACCAAAAACCCGTCGTCCTCGTCCGCCTCAGGATTCTCGGGCTCTCTGGCTACGAAAAACGGCTCGCCCCCGTAGCACCCCGGCCCAAACATCCTGCTGGCCACAATACACTCCTTGTGCTCCGCATTGGACACATCCAATTTTACAACTCCTGATATCTTAGGCATGGGATCACCCACAGCTACATACACATACTTATTCTTCCTCCCGAGGTA